ATGTAGCTCAGATGGTAGAGCGCTCGCTTAGCATGCGAGAGGTACGGGGATCGATACCCCGCATCTCCATTTTTTTTTTAATTTTTTTTTTTTAATTTTTTTTTTTTTTTAAGTTTTTATCCAGAATTTAAACTGATGTCTCCTTGAATAGAAATAATTTCATAGTCTGTTTCAACTGTATGGATCTAATACTCCAAAACAAATAATGGAACAAGAATCTAATATTGGAACAGTAGATTTTTTAGAGTAATTGACGTCCAAACGAATTTTATATGTAATATTTTGAATTTCCAAACGAGCATTTATATCATGATGATCATCACAAACAATCATATCAAACAAATTATCAATTTGCACCGTATCTTAACTCGATAATTTTCAAATAAGCCAACAGAAATTTTTGAAAGAAAAAAAAAAATCCAAATTGCATGCTCAAAACATTTTTTCCCCGAACTGCACAAATTTCCTTGCTCTCTCTTTTCTTGACCTTTCGCTTTTGCCAGTAGGTATGAACATGGGTCGAATTTAGTTGAGTTTTAACTCAACCCAATCCAACCATCGAATCGACAATTTGAGTTAGGGTGAAATTTCAACACGAAAACTAACTCAACAAGAGAAAAAAACAACCCGAGTCAATTCAAATGGATCGATTTTTTGAATTTACCATTGCAATCAAATTTTTTTTTTTATATTAAATCGGACCTGAAAACCAAGGTTCTATGGTTATAACTCAGACATGAATGATATACTATACTGTTACTCAATATATATTTCTAAATGCAGTAGGCTCATTGCGGTCTAATTCATGAATTGAATCATAACTATATAAGCTATTATGATACTAAGAGATTCAATAAAGATGAAATCATGCCGAAGTTTTCAGGTTGGGTCCAAGTCAAGTGGAAAATCGACACGAATCAGATCGATCCCCCAATAAATATGCACACCCCTATATCCCAGGGTACTTCTGTGAGTTAATACTTAATTAAAAAATTGACATTTAGAACAATCTACCTAATTAATAATTAAATTCTTAAAATTATTAGAAATATATATTTCTTCGTTAAATGTACCTAACTTGACCGTATTCGCTTTTCTTGGAATCAAATTACACCATTTTACGAAATATGCATTTTGAACCCAATATTAATGTATTAAAACCCACATTTTTTTAAAGGATTGCGTGAAAATTATAATTAGAAGACTTCGACTAACTAGCTCGATGGTACACCAAACTCGACCCTTCTAACTTACGGATCACAAATAGGCCATGAACAATTTATAGGATTATGCTCCTGTATGGCCCTCATTATTTCATATTATAATTTTTTTCTTTCTTATTTTTAATAATATAATCTTTTATTAAATAATATTATATGTAAATCGAAAAAAAAAATTTATTTTCCAATCACACATCCTCCAAAAAATATCATTCTAAAAATTATAATACCAAATAATGGGGTTCCAATCGAGGGCTAAAATAAGTCCATATCTAAATCATATCTTTAAAAAGGTCTATGTTTGGTCTTCATTTTTCTTAGCATCATGCTTAAAAATCAGCGCAGTTACAAAAGCTCGAGGATAAAGACAAGAGATGGATGTACTCTCCTTTGTAATTCTTGGCGGTTTGTGAGTTTTCAAGGCCTGACCAGCAATTAGATATTTTCCAGAAATATCTCTGATAATGAACTGCTTCACACTAGCCGCGCCCATGGCCTTTGTCCACTTGTAATCCATGCAGTAGCCAACTGTCTCCTTCACATATATTTGCAGCAACCAGAAAACCCTTCGCAGCAAGCTAAGAAACTGATATAAATTCAACCACTTGTCTCAAAATATTATCAGTAACTACGGACCATCTTCTCCACCCTTTTTTACTGTGTTGGCTAGACTAAGTCAATCAACCTAGATGGCCCCGAGCTTTGGTGGAACCGGGAACTACGTTGGCTCGTTTGAGGTCTTTCTTGAACGCTGGTTCGCTCGTCAACAGAACTTACTCGAGGAGTTACTGAGGACAGAAGAAACTTACCATGAGTCTCAAGATCAAGATGGAATCAGAGAACTTATTGATAGGGTTATTGCTCACTATCAAGAATACTTGTCAGAAAACTCGCGAATGGCTAATAGATGTACATTCCTTATGTTCTCGCCAACTTGGCTCAGCCCACTGGAGAAAGCCCTTCTTTGGATTGCCGGGTTTAAGCCCGGGCTAGCACTTCATCTCGTGACAAGCTCAGTGAGTGATTTATCAGAGAATCAAAGACAAAGAATTGAACGCTTGAAGCATGAGACAAAAATGGAAGAGAAATTGTTGGCAGACGAATTGTCGAGTATTCAAGAAAGTGTGGCAGCTCCTCCACTAGCAGAGGTAGCGAAGGAGGAAGGAAGGAGGCAGCTGATGGAGGGAGAAATTATAGAAACTCCTGATTCGGAACTGGAGACTTTGAGATCAGCCGTGCAGAGTTTGCTGATTCGTGCGGATCTGTTGAGGGCTAGAACAGTTCAAGTGGTGGTTGAAACACTGAGTCCTCTCCAAAATGTGAAATTCTTTGCGGCGGGGATTCAGTTCCAGATTAGAATTCGGATGCTGGGAAGGCAGAGAGAGGCTGAGCAGCCTCGACATGAAGTAATGGTTGGTAGATTTTCATCTACCCTCTAATCTTGTTGTAGCGTCGTCGGCTTCACGAAGTGACGGACTGATACTGTTTTAATGTGCTAATATTTGCAGTTTATGTAATGTGTGCTAGTATGTGTTTGGCTCTGTAATTTTATGTTATAACTTAAAAGATTAAAAACTGCGTTAAACTATAAACACAATCAAATAACATCTCCCGTCGAGTTCAAGACATGGTTATTCGAATAATCAACCACGAGTCAAGCCAGCTGGTCAAGTATTACCAAGAGAACCCGAACAATAGGTAGAAAGCAGGCAATAATTTAATTGAATATTTGATAAAACTAAATGGGTAAAACCATATTTTGTTTTTATACTAGTAATCTAAGTGTCTTACAATCCATGCAGCAAAGTTTCTAGTGTATAATTTGCAAACCATGCAGCCAAGTGTCTAGTTTCTACTTGCAATCCCTGCAGCCATGATGTTCAATAAATATTTCTGTCTTAAACTTGTCACTGTGTCTATATGCACATTAGTTTGACTAACGAACAAACAGGAGTAGCAATCTTCTTGATGAATTACTGCTAATACATACACTTCACCAGACACTTGACAAAATGATTCACTTTCTGAGCAGGTGAAGCAGGCTGCTGGGCACCAAGCTTGCCATTCTCTGGAGATTGGGGAAAACTCAAGTTACACATTGTATCCTTAACTGATGTAGTCAACTATGTTAAATCGTCGATTAGCTAGTGAAAGGAGTACTTCTCAGCTATAACAACTCATTAAGAGGTGACAAAATGGAGCTAAATCAAAATCAAATCAACCAAGGCCTTAATATTGGGATTGAGAAGTGCATGTTGATCTGAAGAGGCTGTCCTCTGAATATGGCTTGGGAAGGAATTTTTCAAGTCAAGGCACTTACAGGGGAGTAGAAATAGGTCTAAGAGACTTATATGTGAAGGATGCACTATGGTTATATACAATCAGATTTTGAGGAGGGATGTAATCCTCACCCCCGCCCAACATCCCTTCACACGTCAAGCTGCCCAGGCCTCAGTGTATTAGAGGATACCTCTAGATATACATGTCAAATATGAATGCACTCATTTCATTAGCTTGAAACTTACCATTAAATTCAAAATTTAACTTCAAAACTCACTGCTAAATTCAAAAATTAACCATATTACTGGCTATACATCCTAAAATTTCCAATTTACCCTCTTATTTACTTCAACACCACCGTGAAAACCTTTTGCACCATCTCTGCCTCCACACTTAACTTGCCACTAAATTCAAATTGAACTATATCACACCCTAATGTTTCCAAATTATCCTCTAATAAGTGTAATTTCTATACTTATTCGGGGCCTTATATAATGGCATTTTATAGTCCTTTGATTGAAACATTACCTAATTTGTTATATATTGTGTTTAATAGGTAAAACTCATGATTTGATGAAGAATTGGAGAAAACTCGCTAAAAATAGAAAAGAATGGCGAAATACAAAGCGTGGGGACTAAATTGCAATATACTCAAAAGTTGTGTTGGACCTCATGATAAAGATTCGAGAGTGTCATGGGTCAATTGATGAAAAAAGATATCAAAAGAATGAAATATAATCAAAGCATTGTCACGCATCAAGTTCCAACCGAAAAAGTTACAATCCGAATTTTCAGTTTCAAATTGAGACTTATTTTTTACACAACAAACGTTCGAATTGAAAAACAATATCTAAATACAAATTGTAGCCCTTTGAGTTAACTTTCCAACGCACCTTAAATCAACTCAATCAGATAACAAGAGAAAAAAATATAACAAAAATACTGAAAATCATTCTGTAGCCAAAATTTAGCCTATGCGGCCGCAAGGAAGGATTTTTGTGCAGCCGCGACCCCGAATCAACAAGAAGTCCCATCTGGCACCTTCCATGCGGCCACAAGGCATAATTCCGAGGAAAAAATTTTGGTTTCCTTATCTAATAAAAACTCTACTTGGAAACAATATTTTGAAATCCTATATATACCAAAACTCAGCTAGAACATCCCCAACCTCCATTCGACCTCATTCTGCATATTTTGGAAGCAAAGAACAAGTCTATACATCAAATCAAAGCAAATCATACAAAGCATTTGAAGATTCATAGCCCGATTTCCAAACAAAAAAAAAAGTCATAAACGTGGATCTTTCCTACTTATTCATTAATTCTTATTTTCGGGTGATTTTTTTCAATTTTCTTGTGTAATTTAATTAAAAGAATGTTAAGCTAGATTCTTCTTGTATTGGATGACGATGAACCCTATTAATTGTTAATTTCAATTCAAGATTCGTGAATTTAGTGATTCTATTGAGTTTTTTATTACTTATGAATTCATATTACGTTGTTTGAATAATTGGCCACCACTTAAATAACTTGTTGCCCATTCATAGTTTTAGAAGGCTCACAATAGGTAGCACACTACATATTTAACATACTTACAATAGAGATTATGATTAATATTCATAACATGTGCAATCTTGTGTGAAAAATCCTGTGAATTAATACATGTTTTTCATATGAATTCAAATTACGAATTGGACCAAGTCATGTTAAACATTGATTTAATGTCTTGAAAAAGAATATTGAATAAAACTATATTATCAATTGTCATTAACATCAAAAAATATTTACTATTTTTATGAGTCGAGAATTGGAAATAGCACTAATAGGAAGATTCAAAAATCCAATGCGTTCATCTCATATCGATAAAACCACTTTTAATTGCTTAGTTAGAATTAATATAAACAAACCCAATCCCTTTTGTATTACGATACATCGAATTTGGTATTAACTAATACACTATTATTAAACATTATTCCTCTTGGGACGATTACTCAACTCATTTATTCTATTACTTGTCAACATTTCCGCATGCTTGCAGATTTTATCCGTACACCCTCTAATTTCAATAATGCAAAACCTTTATTACCCACTAGCCTCCATCATCACTTACCTTCTATGCACACGAGCAAAGCAACTCAACAAACAGTTTTAACATGTATCATTTTAAAGCCTTGATCGTTGCCCATTTCAATTAATCATTATAGTAACAAATCATAAGAAGCCCTAAGCACTGAAAATTAAGCTCACCAGCTTAGCCGATCAATCTCCAGAAAAGCTCAGCACACACTTCTAAAGCTTCAATGATCAATCTATGAAAAACAATAACCTGTTCTGGTTCATGAAATATCAAACAACAGTCAATATGGATAAGTGGCTCAATCCAACAGAATAACAAACTCTAAAGAACATTTCTTTTCACAATAAAATCAAGGTTGGATGTTTACTCTAAACAATCCCATAGCACAGTCCACAAGAATAAGAAATAACTCACAAGGCAATACGACCCATATGTACAATTACACAAACTTGCACAACCAGGCTCATTCCAACAGTACACTAAACTCTATGGCACAAGATTTTTTTCATTATTAAAATCAAGGTTGGATGTTTACTTACGCTCCCATATTCCCCAACATCAAGAAGTAACACAGGGAAATACCACCCATATGTATAATTATCCTAATTTGAAAATCACACCCAAAAGGGGTATTCAAACATCCAAGATTCCAAAAGTGAAGCAGTCGATCAGTTTAACTCAAAAAAAGCATTCGCTTTAGTACCAAAATTTGTTCAGGAAAAAATTTGAGGTAAACAACCTTTTACATTCAAATCAAACATTTTAGTGATCAACGACAGCGCTGGAAATCTAAAAGCTAAGATAGAAACGTACACCAATTAGGCCTAGACAGCAAATTAAATTAGGTTAGAAGCTAGAGAAAGTAAGAACAATAAAGAATAAAGAAGCTCATATAAAAAATAAATGGAAACAGAATTTCATTGATTGAAGAACAGATTAAGGATTTAAGACAGATCAAAGCACAGTCATTTAAACCTAACACAAAACACTTCCCCCAACAAAGTTCCCCCATTTATACAAAACTTCAACACCGCCCAAAATCCCTCTCCCCAACCCTAACCAAAGCAATTTAACCGCCGAATCCATATAAGGTCCTCCCCTGCCTCTTGAGGGCGTACACAACGTCCATGGCCGTCACAGTTTTACGGCGAGCGTGCTCAGTGTAGGTGACAGCATCACGGATAACGTTCTCAAGGAAGATCTTGAGGACGCCACGTGTCTCCTCGTATATAAGCCCACTGATACGCTTCACTCCACCACGGCGAGCCAACCGTCGAATCGCCGGCTTTGTGATGCCCTGAATGTTATCCCTCAGCACTTTGCGGTGGCGCTTGGCACCGCCCTTTCCCAAACCCTTGCCGCCTTTTCCTCTTCCTGACATTTTTTTTTCTTGGAGAGAGATCTGATTTTTGATGCGGTAGTGAAAATGATGTGATTTGGAAGGCTATATATTGGGAAAGTATAGAGGAAAAATTACTTGAGAGCCGTTGATCTCAGGTTTTAATCGACAGTGTATAATGGTGATCCGAATCTAATGAGTTTATGTATTATCAGCCATTGATAAGAACTGAATCGACGGTAAAAACTGTACTTTGTCTGGACAACGCGGCTCGTGGCTAAAGATACTTTGGAAGTATTTAAAAATGATTTTGTTTATAAACAAATATGAATAAATAATGTATAAATAATTAGAGCTTGTTTGGTTTGTATTAAAATCTGATTTTAATCTTAATTAAAATCAAATAATTAATATTAATCACATCTTTCATGGATATCACAACTACTTTTTAACCACATTTCAAAAAATTCTATCACAATCTGATAAAAAATCTAATTCTAATCAACGTCAAACACCCTCTTAATATTTGTGACTGTCATGATTTTTCATGTTACACTACAATTCAATAACTGAGACTAGACTCCATGTAAACATTGGAGATGTTATCATCTTCTTGATTTTGATTTCAACTCAAAAGCCGCCTCTTCATCTCTTCTTCTAAGCAATCGAAGAGAAGTTTAAAAGCTCAGCCACAATTTAATCTGATAAAAAATCTAATTCTAATCAACGTCAAACACCCTCTTAATATTTGTGACTGTCATGATTTTTCATGTTACACTACAATTCAATAACTGAGACTAGACTCCATGTAAACATTGGAGATGTTATCATCTTCTTGATTTTGATTTCAACTCAAAAGCCGCCTCTTCATCTCTTCTTCTAAGCAATCGAAGAGAAGTTTAAAAGCTCAGCCACAATTTTCGATTACATGTTCAAATAATGCATAATTCTCCTTGTTACGAGGAAACTATTCATGAGAATTTTGTCACTACCATATTTCTACATTGCTCGTTGGAGAAGCATATCACCGGAGCTAAGATAAACAAGAGTCCTCATGAGCATCTACTTAGTCATGACGAGCATAAGTCTGCATCACAGTGTCGTCCTCCACTTTTACGCTAAAGGATTTTGTAAATATTGGGTTAGATATTGACCTGTCATGATGCACCTTGGTGTGCAATTGGCCTAATTATGATTTGAACATTGATATAAGTCACGACAATTGGTAGTTGAGACCACAATTTACGCATGTTCGTACGACACTAGTTGCTTAGCCTGAATATGTTGATCCGATGATGATTTTCATTTCACAACAACTCAAGTCAGGCAAAATTACACATTGAGTTTAAGCAAATAAAAAATTTATTTTATTAAATACTAATAAAATATAGTATTTTTATTCTCAAAACCGAACCAAGACTTAACTCACATTAATCGAACTTAAATAAATTAATTAATAAATATATTATTCGGTATATTTAGATATTGCAGTGATATATGCATTCCATTCCATCAGTTCAAATGAAGATTTCGTTAATTTTAGTGTTGTGAATCTTGTAATATTCATAAAACATGTTGTGGACCTAAAGTACTCCCTCCGTCCCAATTATATAGGTTGAGTTTTCTTTCTCTCTTCTTCCAAATATATAGACTTGTTTTCTAATTTAGAATATTTTATTTTATTCCTTTACAAATATATTCCTATTCAATTTTCCCCACTTTAATATAACAACTTCTTGAAATCATCCAAATACATACATTTTCACTTCTTAGAAACATAGAACAACTCTCATTTCTTCTTTTTCAAATTAAATCATTCAAATTCTTTACTAATTCCAACAATAATTTACTACTATATACTGAAAATTAAATAAGTATAAACTAAGAAAGATTTTCACAAAAATTCATTTTCCAATGACATTAGAGAAGATTTTTTAATCCGTGTGAAAAACGAAACAAACCTATATAACTGGGACGTAGAGAGTAACATATTATTACGTGGTTTGCAATAATTAACATACACCAAATCTTTCTTTAGGGGGAAAAAATCCAATCAATCTCGATTTTATTAAAAATGAAATTTAATTATTTATGTAGAAGTCAAACTTTCACATATGTTATTTCAGAATTCCAATCTCCTTGTGGTTAAGATAGTTCGCCTTCATCAACAAATGATGGATTTGATGATAGTTTCACTGCACTTATAATCCTTCGAGTAGTGATGCAATTAGCCAGTTACTTTCCTGACCAATATTTTTAGCAAACTATTCGGAAAATAAAAATGACAAGAAATCTAGATTCTACAACCAAAAATATTAGTAATAATAAAATAATAAATAAATAAAAATTCAAGTGCGTCAAATGCCACTGCATTTCTTAATGTTGATAATCGACATTCCACGCCAAAAACAGTAAGCAAGCCCTCGACTCGATGCAACACTTTCACCACTAATAATTCTAATTTTACCAACCGAAATTTGACTACTGTTTAAATAAAACAGAAAGTTCACCCTTCTCATACATAGAGCTCAATATATCACACCCTCCAACAAATTCACCATTAACAAAAATCTGAGGGAATGTAGGCCAGTTGCTATACTTCTTTAATGTTTCCCTTAACCCATAATTGTGTTCTTCATCCAGCACATCTAAACTTTCATAATCCACACCTTGACTTTCAAGAATTGCTACAACCCTCTGTGAGAATCCACACAATGGAGCACTTCTTGATCCCTTGATGAACGCTACCACCTTGTTTTCCTTCACTAGCCTGTCAATGAGTTCCTCCAAAGGGACTGTTAATTGGACATTGCGACCCGGTGTTAACCTCAGATCAGACTTCTTCTTTGGAGGCTTTTTTACCCATGTTGTATTTCCAGATTCATTACCCGGCGGTACTTTTCCAGTGGCTGCTATCTGTTCCTCCACCCATGATTTCCAAGCTTGGGTCAAAGCAGTTCTATCAGGCTCATCTACCACCCCTACCTACATAAGAGAACTTTTAAGTGATTCAAGAGTTCAAAAGAAAACAAGAAATATACAGAAACATAAAACAATTATCATCAAACAACTCGGTTTAGTAAGTATATACATGTTCCTTCCATTAGCCCAGAAAAACTAAGGCTCCATTTGATAGGCATCCATTTGATAGGCATCACTTTCCATGGAAAATGAAATTAATTTCCATCTTGACAATTTTCGTGTGAAACAAAGCCAAACGAACACCAAAAAACACTTTTAAGGGTCCGTTTGATTGCAAAGATAGAATTTGGATGGAAAAAAAAACGAATTCCAGGAAATTAAATTGCCTAGAAATTGTGTTCCTCAGAATTGTAAATTATTGTGTTTTATTGGTATAATTTTTCACATAAAAAAGTTGAAATAAAAGTGTTTTTGGTGTTCGTTTAGCTTTATTTCACATGAAAATTGTCAATGAAAGAGATAGAATTTACTGGTATTGGAGATGAAATTTGTTTCCATTGCCAAAAAAAAACTAAAATAAAAATTCAAGAAAATCTTCTATCTTTTGATGTTCGTTTGGCTTTGTTTTACATGAAAATTGTCAATTAAAGGGAACTATTTTTTTACAATAATTCTTAAAATTTGTTTTCACTGCATTTAAAAAAAAAAAGGAAAAAAAAACCGCTACATTAACCAACAATTGTATTGGTGAGAATTTCAATTCAAGGAAAAACTGGAAATTGCCAACAATTGTATTGGTGAGAATTTCAATTCAAGGAAAAACTGGAAATTGGCTTGTGTGGCAAGAAAGTTGGACAATGAATTCTGGGGAAAATTTTGGACATCAAACAATCAAAAGTTAGAAAATGGAATCCAATGGAAAATAAATGGCTATCAAACATAGCCTAACATCAAATGTTCCAAACATTAGTTAGCCCCGTTTGATCCCCACTTTCATCCTACTAATGCATTTTTCATGTCAAATCCTGGTGGTTTGACTGCATGGCTATCATTTCACATGTATATAAATTACCACACCTTTCCCGTTTTGCCCTCATTGAATTGGACCAAAAGTAGGGAAGATTCCAACAGCCTTTCAATATTCAAAGGGCAAATGTGGAAAATTGGGGTAAAAACTGCAGTAAATGGGACTGCACTGGAGGACCCATGGTGTCAGATTAACGTTCGATTTTCTCATTTTAGTCAGGCAAAAATGTGGGACAAACACACGCTTAATATTGCCACAGGTCAAAGGAGCCTAGACTTTGTCCATTGAAGCAGCCACAAACTCATATTGAAGCAAAATGTAGCCTAGACCCAGCTGCTCAACATCCATATCTAACGTGGCGCTGTCGTGTTTTCTGGAATATCTGAAAGGGAAGGAGGTGGAGAGGAAGATTGTGGGTGGGTTTTGAACAAGGAAAAGTAAAAGGATTGGAAGCGGAGGAAAAGAAGAAATTTCTATTGTTTGGTTGTAAAGAAGAAAATGGATGAAATGAACCCGAATCTCTCTTCCCCATTTTATCAGCCAAAATTGGCCTGAAATGAAGGACCTGTTCTACCATTAGTAGAAGCTGGAACTTTTCCACTTTCCCTCACCTCCCAATTTCTGAAACAAAAGGTTGTGGTCTGCCTATTATGGGGGAATTAGGAATGAACAAAATGATGAATCGAAAATTGTAGGTAGAAATGTTTTCAACTGTTTGGTAAGATGAAAAGATAGGAACAAATGAAAAAATAGATGAATTACCGTCCATTATAGTGCAGTATTTTATATCAAACCAGAAGAAAATGTTCAATATCTACCATGTTCTATCCTTTGTAACAAAGGACAGATAGAAAAATAGGCTTACCTTTCTTGTATGAACAAAAAGAACATCCTTCCTTTTCCAAACCTCTACCTAAAACTTAAGCTACTTGGAGCAAGTACTATCAACCTAGCTTAAAAGTACAGATATAAGCGTTCTGGTAGGAGTAAAATGAGAGGGAAGCGAAAGAGCTAAGGATCTATATTCTGTTCACAAAGAAAGGACTCCTCCATATCTTTTCAATGTTTGGCACTAGTTGAATTAACAATTGTATCTCTCACAAATAACAATGGGGCTTTGAGGGTGGACTGCTCCTTGCCCAGAAGTACAGGTATGTGGTGGCAATGGCTGTGCATGGTGCTAGACAACAAGATGTCAAGGTCGTTTATTATGCTTTAATAGCCCCTGCATGTGTCGTTTTAGAGGATATTGTTACTGTGTCGTCTGAAATTGGAGGTCGCACGTTTGCTTGTGGTGATATTGATTAATGGAACTTCTTGTTCATTAAAAAAAAAAAGAGAGAGTACAAGTCCCTTTGTATGCCTATATCAATGATCATGTCAGAGAAATATTTTCCAAATGAAATTAAATTGGTGTTTAAAAAAAAAAAAAAAAAAGATTTTGTTCAATTTAACACATTTACATCCAACCAAGCACAACTCAAAGTTTCATTCTTTTTCTTTTTTCTTTTTCCGCTGTGTCACAATATTAACATTACCAGTAGAGTAAGGGCCACTAAAATAGAGGCAAAAATGTTAGTATCATCGTTTCGCGTAACAGGACTACTATGTATTTCCAGTACCCTTTTGCAGGTTCATTAGTGTTCAATATCAATTACCAAACAACATGCTCTTGCGAGTCAAAATCACGAAATTAACTACGTGAATTAAAGAACTACATAGATAATAATACCTTGACTGAGCAACAGAGATCGGGCACCGATTTCTTGTGCGTTAAAATACTGGCGGCGACATTTCGAGATATGCCGACGAATTGGAGCTCACCACTGTTGCCATAAACGGCGTACACGCCGGAATCTGAGGGGAATATTCCTGTTATTAAGTTATTTTCCTCCGGCACCACGACCGATTCAGTCTCGGAAAGCTTCTTTACAGATGAAACAACGACCGTTGCATAGCGAGGTCTGGCTGCAATTTTACGTCTGAGGGATATAGAGGAGAAGGGTAGAGAAGGCTTCGGTAGGGAATAAAACGAAAGAGAGGAGGCATTTTGGGAAGAAAATTGGGAATATACGCCAAGGGAAGAGCCTGAGTGTGTTGGCCTTTTTGGGGATGAGAGGTTGAAGGTAGCCATTGAAGAGTTTCACAAATGGCAGACAGTGGAAAAACACTATCCTTGAGGAGCTACTCCTCTATCGTTCTTTCCGTGCAATTATGTTCGGTGCAAATAGAAATCGTGCTATCTCCGGATTGGAATGAAAATGCGATCATATTTGATGCATGTAAGATATCAACGAGTTGAGCCAGCTCGCGAAGCTAGAAGGCAGAGCTCGGCTTGAGTAAAAGTGATTCTTGCATTTTCTGGCTGTAGTCAAGTCGAGTTTTTGCTTGGCCAAAAAATTTAAGCTCAACCTGAGCTTTTCAACTCAAAGGTGAGTCGGCTAGTTTTTTTTTCTTTTTAATTTTTGACAAATCTAAATTTTTTTTAAAGATTTAAAAATTTGTGGAATTTTTTTCATTTTTTTTTTCGCCAAGGGAAGAGCCTGAGTGTGTTGGCCTTTTTGGGGATGAGAGGTTGAAGGTAGCCATTGAAGAGTTTCACAAATGGCAGAAAGTGGAAAAACACTATCCTTGAGGAGCTACTCCTCTATCGTTCTTTCCGTGCAATTATGTTCGGTGCAAATAGAAATCGTGCTATCTCCGGATTGGAATGAAAATGCGATCATATTTGATGCGTGTAAGATATCAACGAGTTGAGCCAGCTAGCGAAGCTTGAAGGTGGAGCTCGGCTTGAGTAAAAGTGATTCTTGCATTTTCCGGCTGTAGTCAAGTCGAGTTTTTGCTTGGCCAAAAAATTTAAGCTCAACCTGAGCTTTTCAGCTCAAAGTGAGTCGGCTAGTTTTTTTTTTTTTCTTCTTTTTAATTTTTGACAAATCTAAATTTTTTTTAAAGATTTAAAAATTTGCGGAATTTTTTTCATTTTTTTTAGCTGCCATTGCCGTATCAAGCCAACAACCATCGTTGCATAAAGGCAACACGTTTACCTTGTTAAGGTAGCTGTTGATTTTTTTAAAATAAACTTTTTTTTTAAAGTTTTACATGCAACTATTTTTATTTTTTTATTTATTTTAAATTCGACTCATTATGGATTGAATGATTTGTGACACATATTGGCCCATGTGGCTCGTCAAGCCACGAATGCTGGCTCGAGCCGATGCCTCAAAATGAGGCTCGACCAAAGCCACGGGTCACTCGAGCTAACAAGCCAAATTGATACACATAAAAATATGTTTTCCAGATAATAGGAAACTTAAATAATTGCTTTTTACATTATGGAAAAATATACTAAATATAATATATCTATTGCAAAAATTAGGAATGAAATTGACTTCAACTTGAGTAGAACAAACAAGTAATTTTTTAAATGCACATCCCACAAAATAAAAGTTATCAAATAAAAAAATTATTGACCTGTATTACATTTTTATATATATATTGAACGAAATATTGTTTTATATTCTCACTTGGCCTTGAAAGGATTCAAAGTGTTTGTTTGTAATTTTAACTATAAATCTTTCAAAAACTATTTTTCACTTCAAATAATTTCTCCCAAACAAATATGATATAAAAGTATTATCTTATATATTTAATGTGATTATTAATTAATATACTAACTTCATCAAAGTATAGGAAACTTAAATAATTGCTTTTTACATTATGGAAAAATATACTAAATATAATATATCTATTGCAAAAATTAGGAATGAAATCGACTTCAACTTGAGTAGAACAAACAAGTAATTTTTTAAATGCACATCCCACAAAATAAAAGTTATCAAATAAAAAAATTATTGATCTGTATTACATTTTTATATATATATTGAACGAAATATTGTTTTATATTCTCACTTGGCCTTGAAAGGATTCAAAGTGTTTGTTTGTAATTTTAACTATAAATCTTTCAAAAACTATTTTTCACTTCAAATAATTTCTCCCAAACAAATATGATATAAAAGTATTATCTTATATATTTAACGTGATTATTAATTAATATACTAACTTTATCAAAGCGTAAAAATTTATTATTCAAATCCTACTTGGTATTGTTGACGGTCAATTTTTTTAGTTAATTTTGATAAAAATTAATGAAATATGTTATTCAAAAGTTAATAAAAGTTACAAATCGCATAAAAAAATATGATTAAAATAAATGGTTAATTTTTCAAAAAATTATTATTCTCACTTGGCCTTGAAAGGATTCAAAGTGTTTGTTTGTAATTTTAACTATAAATCTTTCAAAAACTATTTTTCACTTCAAATAATTTCTCCCAAACAAATATGATATAAAAGTATTATCTTATATATTTAACGTGATTATTAATTAATATACTAACTTTATCAAAGCGTAAAAATTTATTATTCAAATCCTACTTGGTATTGTTGACGGTCAATTTTTTTAGTTAATTTTGATAAAAATTAATGAAATATGTTATTCAAAAGTTAATAAAAGTTACAAATCGCATAAAAAAATATGATTAAAATAAATGGTTAATTTTTCAAAAAATTAATTTTGACCTTTTTTTACAATAAAATTTTAGGGGATGTAGTAGGGTTAGAACATTAGCCTCGTTTGAGCCCTATTAAATTTATAATACATTGGAAAAATTTCACAAGTAAGAGTTCAAATATCACATATTTTAAAGTTAAGAAAATAAATTTCAAACTTCCAAAATTAGATTTTTATTAAAATTTATTTATGATTTAGTTAATTAATTAATTATATTATTAATTAAATATATTTATATCACATATCTATACAATTTGGTCACAAATTAACAATTTAATTAGTTGTTTATTATTTTTTGGTTATAAATTAGAAATTTTATGTCACGAATTATTTTACAATCAAATTTCAAAAATTTTATAGGTCACAATTTGTTCATGAGTCACAAATCAAAAAATAATAATTAGTCACAAATTAAGTTTTAGTCATAATTTATTTCTCGACCACAAATAAAAATATTTATAAGTCCAAGATTATTTTTCGATACGAATCAAAAAAATTATAGGTCACAGGTTACAATTATCGAATTAATTATTCACATTATTTTTAGTCACAAATCAAATATTTTATAGGTTACAAATTATTTCACGGTCACAAATAAAAAAATTTATAAATCACAATTTATTCATCGATCACAAATTAAAAAATTTATAGGTTACAATTTATTTACCGGTCACAACTCATTACAGGATCACAATGGTTACAAATTAACAAAAATTTTATGTCACACATTCTTTATTAATCACAATTTATCGATTTACTTGGCCACACATTAACTAATTTATTGGTCACAACTAACTATATAATTTGTGACACCACTACCTCCAACGCCACAGTCGCTAGAACCACCACCACTACTTTACTACCATTGCGACGATAGCTACCACTGCCAACACGACCACCATCACTTGCACCATCACCACCACTAACACAACCTAACAGTGACGCTACCACCCAAAATCACTTTAAACCACCATAAAACACCGCCCAAAACACCACCATGCCACCAACTGCAGCAAGATCTGATTTGTATGCACCACCGTTGCTACCAATACCAAATTTTTTCTCATGTTGAAAATTTATTGTTCAAAATCAGAGAAAAAAAGGGGGGCTTAACCATGCGACCGCATGGATTAAGCCCATGCGGTCGCATGAGGCCCTCCCGAGAATGGGAGGGCAGCGATGCTATAACCATGCGACTGTATGACTTAGCCCATGTGGTCACATGGTTATCAAAACTAACCGTTAGATTAGTTTTTTGACCTTTTTTATTTGAAATTGATCACTTTTCATCCTTATTTTGCACCATTTCGTGAAAAACTTGCTAAGGCCTATAAATAGGTGATCCAAGTGCAAGAAAGATATATTGAGTTCCATTAAAATTTATCCCCAAATATACTTCCAATATTGAGAAAATTTATCACATAATTCTTCCATTTTCACTTGCTCATTGTAAAGAAACACATTTGCTTTTTGGTGTTCTTATTGTCAAGGCTTGTTCAATCTCACAAACTATTTGCCGAAAATCCTTAAAAAGTATTGGAAATGAGGCAAATAACGTTTGAGGACAGCGAGATTAATTTCGTGTTCAAACCTTCATTGATATACTTTTATAATTTTCTTCTCCATTGCCATTATTTTCAACAATCTCAAACGTTATTTGTTACTATTATTACAATGGAGACGGAATCTACAATGCTACTATCAAAATGATGAATCAAGACCTGGTACGCTTGGACAGATTCGATGGTGCAAATTTCACAAGATGGTAAAACAAACTTAAATTTCTATTAACGGCCCTGAAAATCTTCTATGTGCTTGATCCAAAACTGGAGCCTATTCCCGATGCAACTGATAAGGATACCGAAGAAATTCGCGTAGAAAAGAAGAAACGAGAAGATGACGAATTAATATGTCGTGGCCATATCCTAAATACGTTATCTGATTGCCTCTATAATCTCTACACCAACACTACATCGACAAAAGAAATCTGGTACGCGCTAGAAAGCAAATACAAAGTCGAGGAGGAAGGTACCAAAAAGTTCTTAATATCTAAATATCTTGATTTCAAATTTTTAGATAATTTACCGTTATTGCCTCAAGTGCATGAGTTACAAATTGAAAGCGGAGAAAATCGAACTTCCCGAAACTTTTCAAGTGGGAGCAATTATTGCTAAACTTCCTGGTTCTTGGAAATGATATAAGAAGAAGATTTTTCACAATTTCGAAAACTTTTGTTTGGAAGAAATACAAAAATATCTTCGTATTGAGGAAGAATCAGGGGCAAGAAATAAGATTGAAAATTCTTATGAAGGCCCTTCAAAGGCTAATGTCGTGGACAATGTGGACAACTCCAACAAATTTAAAAAGAAAGAAAAATTTCTTGGTCCTAGAAAGGATCAAGGAAAGTTCAAAAACAAAGCCAAAGGATCTTACTATGTTTGTGAAAAATCGGGACACTGTGCTAAGAATGGTTGACATAGAAACACAACAAAAGAAGGAAGGACAAGTGAACTCCGTTGATGAGATTATCTTCACGATGAGCGAAATCAATGCAATACAAGGTAAAGTTTCGAGCTGGTCGTACGATACATGC